AACATCCTTTCAGGGACATATGCGCACTGGAGTCAACCATTTTTGTCTCACGAACCGAGATCCCAACCTCCAAACTACAACCCAAAACACAACACACTGTTCGAGACTCGCCTCGGCTAACAACTACACCAAGCTGCGCCTCAAGGTTGGGTTACCAGCTCTGGCCAGCCATCCACTAGTCAGTTGTTATTGGTCCCGGTCCTCTCATTAGGAATCCCCAGATCTACTGGCCCCGCCGACGCCCCGTACACCGCCGTAAGGCCGAAGGACGGCACCGCTGCTTCATCAAGACTGAGTAACCGGTCGTAGGTGTTGTCTCATGCAAGCGACAGGTCTTTGCTAAAACTCGGGTCGCCTTCCCGATAAGCCCCACCCAGCGGTCACCAAGTGGAGGTGCCTGCCACTGTGTAACTATATCTCCGTCCCCCTATGCCCGGGTGAGTTTCCTCACGTTGATGCTAAGAGCATCGGGCGGAACATAGAAACCAAATGGAGACTTTCGCAAGAGAAGCCAATATTGGAAAGCACACGATGGTCAAAGGTTTTCACACCGCATGCAGGGCCTCCCTGATAGGTCCCACATTGAACGACGGGCAGTCAAACGCGTCATTAGATGACGAGACATTTGGCTACCCTAATAAAGTCATAGTTACTCTTCGCTAATCTAACAACTTCGCTTCAACTATTGCTGCCGACATGTCTGAGGATGTCAAAGCCACCCATGTTCGGAAAAGCAAGACAGGCCTTCATTGCTCCGTAATTTAGTGTGTAAATCTGCTGTGCTTAACATAAAGAACAAGATTTGGACTTTTGCAACACTAATGTCAAGCTATTCAGTTCAGAGGCTTGGCGTGTCACGAAAATCACTTCCATCACCCTACTACAGACTTATGCCAACAACTACATCCTGAAGAGCAGATAGTCAACCGGAAAGGAATAGCAACAAGAAACTCCGAGAGAGCAAACCAACCGAGAACCTATTGCCCAACAAATATGCAAATCAAGCGGAGATGGGTTAGACACACACGCACACACACTGAAGAGACTGTTGGGTTACACTGTATGGTATGCCAGGCAGGTAGTCGAGTGGAACCTGAATACGTAACGGCAAGTTGGGCTTGTGCCTGAGGATAACACGAAGGAGATGAAAGCTTATGCAAGACGGCTGACGAAGACTGCAGAGAACAGGATGAAATGTGGAAGTGTTGTTGAAGCCTTATATAATCCAATCAAAAATTAAGGGAATAATAATGGCAATATACAAATGTCTTTATCATAATAATCGCACTTTATTGTAAAAGTGTAACACCCTAAATTTATAACAACAGGAATGAACGAAATATTCCCATATTGAGTCATAGGATACAAACGTAAACAGCGAAGTAGGAAATTTTCTTTTCGACGATTGATTTTCATAAGCTGCTGCACAACTGTTATTATATTTAACGAAGAAATCATTAAACCAATCAGACACTGGTAAACTTTGTTCTCGAAAAATAATTTAGGTAATTTAAAGTGTAACTTAGACGGGGGTGACTAATTGGAAGTTAGAAAAAAGGCAAAAGTTGGCATGGCGTAATAACTGTGAGATAATGACTAACCAATAAGCTTGTGTAGAATGGCCAGAAACTAGTGGAAAGACGACAAACGTATTCTGGAACACTGTTCAGCTTGGCTAGGTAACCAGGGAGAAAAGAAGAATAGTAGAATAGCAGCTCCATCCTGAAACACCTTGTCATCTCTGGATATCGAGCACTCCTACTTGCATGAATGCTTCACAGTATTACACAGAGTTCCTCAATATCGTACAATAGGACTTCGCATACGCTATTTGTACATAGCTGAAGCACTAGCTATTCGGGAACTAACACCGAACCTCTGCATTCAAAGGCAACACATACATTCACCCGACTTCCCGTGGCCAGAGTAAAGTTCTTACTATAATTTTTGCTTCTCTCCTTTATTATGTAAGTTTACTATTATTTTATTATCATTATTATTCCCATAATCCATAAGGAGGGAAAGGTGCCTACTGACTGGAGGAAAGGTTACCTCGTGAAACTACCAAAGAAGGGCGACTTAGGACTCTGCAAGAACTGGCGAGGAATCATGCTCCTATCGACGCCAAGTAAAATCCTGAGTCGCATCATCCTGGAGAGATTAAAGGACGCACTGGAGACAGAACTCCGACCAGAACAAGCTGGATTCAGGAAAGTCAGGCAAATCATGTACTGACCAAATTGCAACTCTACGCATCATCATCACAGAACAAAGCATGGAATGGCAATCAAACCTCTACCTCAACTTTATAGACTTTGAGAAGGCCTTCGACAGCGTCGATCGTGAAGTAATTTGGAAATTACTCGAGTACTATGGCGTACCCCAAATATTCATCAACCTTATTCAACAGCTGTACGACAACGGCACCTGCCAAGTGATCCACAACGGAAGACTCAGCGAGGCGTTTGGAGTAAACACAGGAGTCAGACAAGGGTGCCTACTATCACCAATGATATTCCTAATTGTGGTGGACTGGATTATGCGTCAGACTGTGGGAAACGAGAAGACAGGAATATCCTGGACCGACGTGAAGAACCTAGAAGACCTGGATTTCGCGGATGACTTATGTTTGATGTCACACACAATCGAAGACTTACAAGCGAAAACCGACAAACTGGTCGAAGAAGCAGCAAATACAGGACTCCAGGTAAACATAGACAAGACGGAGGACATGAAAATAACCAACCAACAACAGCAACAGCATCCAACGTCAATCACCATCAACGGGAGGGATTTGAAAGAGGTTACTTCATTCACTTATCTAGGGAGCATTGTCTCAACTACAGGAGGAGCGGACGAGGATGTCAAATCGAGAATCGGGAAGGCGAGAAACACATTCATCAACCTGAAATCAATCTGGAAATCTTCGTCACTCAGCATCACCAACAAAATTCGGATTTTCAATACAAACGTAAAGTCAGTTCTTCTATACGGATCAGAAACTTGGCGGGTCACAAAGAATATTTCCAAAAGGCTGCAGACCTTTATTAACAACTGTCTTCGCTCTATACTGAAGATCAGATGGCCGGAAAGAATCACCAACAAGGAATTATGGGAACAAACAAAGCAAGAACCAATCGCCCAACAAATATGCAGGAGAAAGTGGAGATGGATCGGACACTCGCTGAGGAGATCGCTGGGTGACATCGCGCGCCAAGCCCTCGAGTGGAACCCGAAAGGAAAGCGGCGTGTGGGACGTCCAAGGGTGACATGGAGGAGATCGTGTGAAGAGGAGTTGAAAGAATATGGATTAACATGGATGCAGGTGAAAAGTATAGCAGAAGACAGAAGAAGATGGAGACGTGCAGTTGAAGCCCTATGTTCCACTAGGAACCCAAGGGAGCAATAATAATAAAAAAAATAATCCATATTTTATTACTACTCTATTACTGTTTATTAATAACACTGCGTTGTCAGACAGATTTCATATAAAAAACACTTTCGCCTTTCACCAGTTCCTGACCATTCTACACGAACTTATTGATTAGTCATTATCTCACTGTCTGTCCGTCCGTTTTCGACATAGAACTTTGCAACGATGTGCAACAGTTCAAGTCGCCACACTCCCTCCTTGTAGCACACAAACCAACAGAAGAAGAAAGAAGAAATGCATAATAGAGAGAGACAGTAAACAGAGGTGTGAGACAAAGGAATAGTAATAACGAAGAACAAAACAGTTTCATTGGAAATCATAAGTCACAAGGGGTGGATGCATCTGCGCTAGCCATTAAGAAAGATCGCTTTCAGCCATATCACCAATTGTTTCCAATCATTGGTTTTTACTGTCCCGAGGACTCCAACCAGTCAGGAAGTCTACACCTTCCTACGTAGCTTAAACTGACTGTTGTGGATTTCATTGACTGGTGAAGTCACGTTTTGGTTTGACCACCGCTAGCTCTTTTCCAGTGTGACTCTATGTCAGCTAATATTGCCCATCGGTTGAGGGAGGCGATGACTAGGCATACGTAGCACATGTCCTAACCATCTCAGTCGATGTAGTTTCACAGCCTCGTCGATTGATTTCCCCTCCTCACCTAGCACTCGACCGATGCCTAACCTGAATATTGCTCACCTTATTATACCACTTCACACGGAAATAGAACGTAGGCACCTATGATCAAAGACAACTAATCTTTTCATGTCTTCCACTCTCAATGGCCAGGTCTCACAGCCATAAAGGAGGACGAAGCGGACTGCTGAGCAGTACACCCGCCCTTTGATCGATAGCCAGCCGGATATCACGTCTACGCCAGAGACGGCGTAAACTGGCATATGCGAGACTAGCCCTCTGTATCCGTGCCGAGATTTCGTCAGAGATCAATCCATTGGCACTGGCTGATGCGACTTCCCAAATAAGTGAAGCGGTCAACGTGCTCTACCCCTTCACTCCCTATTTCTAAGCTAGGAGTCAGTGTAGTCCAGTTCTGTAGCATCATCTTCATTATCTCACACTTATTACGTCATGCCAACTTCTGCCTCTTTTCTAACTTACAATTAGTCTAGGCTACACCTTACATTAGGCGTAATACATTTTTCGAGGACAAAGTTTACCAGTATCCGATTGGCCAATGATTTCTTTGTTAAATATAATTAAGCCTGCACAGCAGCTCATTAAAACGAATCATTGAAAACAACAGGAATACCAAAAATTATCCATTCTCTCTTTCTTCTTCTTCACTCCATTCTACTCCAAATTTTAAACTTTGTAGTTTTAGTAACGGTGGTTGGTTGTTGCTAGTCTTACTCACGCCCCGCCTCAACTACTTTACACAGAGCTTACAACGGGCTAATTGTGTGGTGGGGAGCGGGGGTAAGAGGAGGGCTAAGAGTACATCGGCCGGAAATTGACCCACCACACCACCCAACCAACCAAATACAAAAATTTATCAGTAAGTGTTCTACATTTCAAATGATGAAAAGGCAAGAAAAGTGTCACTCATGCTCCTTTCTTTCTTTTTTATTGTATTCTAAAAATTAAGAAACGAAATTCAAAAAAAGTAATGTTTTGTTTTCCGCTTATATGCGTATATATAGAGGATACTTAAAATCAAGGGAGTAGTAAGGAAAAGTTTAGTTATCAAGTTACAAGTGTTACAAGTGGCGGCAAAGGTGTTTGCATAATTAAAAAAAATTCAACGAAGAATTCACATTTATAAATGCAAATGTCAGTGTATCACTTGAGGTAATCAAGAGAATTTCACCAATGTTGAACATCACAACAATAACAAAACACGAGTGTTATTCAATTCCAAAATCCATCAATTCATAAGTTACTTATATCTGATTCATAATTCAAATAATGATCATAACTCCAGTCTCTACTGTCACTTATCATTGATGCAGGATACTGAAAAGAAGAAGAGAGTGAAGATGATAAGGACAGTGTTGATGATGATGAACCTGATCCATCCAGTCTACGTAATGTTCGACCAATTTTTCCACCATTCAATTGATCTAAGTTAAGATAAACACTCAAGTCAACATCTTTATCATCATAGACAGATGAACTTGTTGAAGAATCTTCAATAAAACTTGAGGAATTAGAATCATCAGAATAAGCATTATAATTATCAAAACCCTCTGAAACAACATTGTTATTATCTACAAGATAAAATAAAAAAATGGGAAACAAATTAATCAAAAGGGTAAATTATTATTTATTATTATTATTTCCTTTAATTTCTAGAGGAACATAGGGCTTCAGATGCGCGTTTCCATTGCGTTCGGCTCTCTGCTAGAGTTTTCACCCCACTCCAAGTCTGCCCACATGCTTTCATCTCCTCCTCGCATGACCTCCTCCAAGTCACCCTCACACTTACGACCAACTCGCCGCTTCCCTTTCGGGTTCCACTCGAGCAATGGCTTGTCTAGTGATGTCACTTGATGGTTTACTTCCTCAGAGTATGGCCAATCCAATCCACCTCCATTTCTTCCTGCAGATTTGTTCCACAGTCGGTTCTTGGTTGGTTCGCTCATTGCCAGAGATCCCTGTTGCTGATCTTTCTGGCCAGCTATCTGATCTTGAGCGGAGTATTGAGCGAAGACAGCTATTGATGAAGGTCTGTAGTTTGTTTGAGATGCTCTTTATGACGCGCCAAGTCTCTAATTCGCATAGTAACTAGCACTGACTGATTTCATATTAGAGTTGAAAATCCGGATCTTATTTTTGATGCTGAGTAGTGTTGTTGACCTCACACAGACTTGAGAGTAATGAAAGCTTGTCTTGTTTTCCCTATCCTCGCTGCTTTGATATCCTCGTCAGTTCCGTTGGCCTTTAGTTGAAACGATGGTTCCCAGGTAGGTAAAGGAGGTTGCTTCTTCTAGATTCCTCCCAATTATGCTGCTTGTTGTCTGTTGTTGTTGTTGGCCAGGAATCTTCATCGCCTCTATTTTCGCTCTGTTTACTTGGAGTCCTATCTTTGATGCTTCTTCTGCCAGCTTGTTGCTTTTCATTTGCATATCTTCCAGTTTGTGGAAAATCAGACATATATCATCGGCGAAGTCCAGATCCTCCAAGTTTTTTGTGAGAGTCCATTTTATGCCTGTCTCCTCATATATATATATATATATATATATATATATATATATATATATATATATATATATATATATATATATATATATCCCAAAGTAGATTTTTTTCACAAATTAAAGCCCGTATGAGAGAGAATCATTGAAAACCACATCCAGAGACCACACTGGATGATTATTTCATTCTGATTTGCAACTCTAACTCAAAAGCAGCTAGAATCAGTAATGAAAGCAGGACAAAGATCCATTACTTTTTGAAGTTACTTTTGGTGTGAAAATCTACTACTGAATTCAGTGGATAAAGAAGATTTGGATTTTCAACACTTAAAACCAAGTCACTGCTTAGACATGGTTCATAATCTTGGAGTGTGCGCCATCCCTAACGTTATTATTTATTTTATTTATTTAAACGCAGAAAAACCTTGGTACAATATAGCACCAAGAAAGATGCGCCGCACAACAATAATAAAACAACATAGATCAAAAGAAAAAAGAAAGAAAAGAAAAAATATATATAAGTAGAGAACAGATAAAGAATTTCATCTGGAAGAAAAACAGTCATGCTTAACAAGTTCAAACAGTATTCGTTAACTATCGTCGGGAAGGGAAGAAAGAAGGAAATTGCAACACGTTCGCCATTGATTACATTCTTGGCCACATCCGATAACGTTTCGAGCCATCGATTTGAGGTATCTCTCAGACCCCAACCAGGGAGTCGTGACACACCAACCGATGCTAATTTAGCACAAAAATCCTTCACCCCACGACGCAACGTCATGGACTGACCACCTCTCCACCTTTTCCATCCCGTTCCGGGGCTAGCGAACAGAGACCTGTATGTAAGCCTCTGGGATGACATTCTAAGCACATGTCCAAGCCACCGGAGCCGCTGTTTCCAGATGACGACACTCAATGAATGGTGATCTCCACTGTGTTCAAACACACGCCGCTGAACCTCAGAATTACTTACACGATGATGCCATCGAACGCAAGCAATCCTGCGGAGACAGTGATGATCGAACACGCAGAGACGCCGTACATCCTCAGCTCGGAGAGGCCAGGTTTCACAGGCGTAGAGCAAGACAACCCGCACCGAAGCAATGAATACCCGACCTCTGACAGCCAGGCTAACGTCGCGACGGCGCCAGAGGTGGCTCAAGTCGATGCATACCACCCTAGCCTTTATTATACGGTTGAAAATCTCATCCGTCACCTCTCCGCCAGCACTCACACAACTACCCAGATACACAAACTTCTCAACAACTTCAAGCGGTTCACTCGCAAGAGTGATTGCCGGTACAGGCTCCTGCAAATCTTGTAATAGTGCTTTGCACTTAGACGGCGCAAAGTATATACCATACTTACAGACACTGATCGCCAACGGATTAAGTGCGATTTGGGCAGCCTGCATGCTATCGCACCATCCCTAACAGCCTGTTGGGAAGTATATTCAACAAAGACCCTTGACAACGAAGCAGACAAAAATCTAACAAATATGTAGAAAGAAACGGAGACAGATTGGACACACACTGAGGAGACCACGCGCCATGCTAGCCCTCCCCCTCCAACCCCAGCAAGTGAAGTCCGAATAAGTCGTGTCACGGGGGAGGGGATGGGGAAAGGAAAAATCTTGTTGGCAGTGGTGGAGATGTGCTACGAAAGCCGTATGTCTACTCCAATATAAACCCCTGAAAAGAATAATACATATACTCACCATATTTGATATAAAAAAACAAAAGTAAACTGTAACATTTGTAAGAAAATAGTCAACTGACCTTGTAAAAATATACACGAATCAGCACAACATCGTAGACATGGAAAAGAGATTAATTCCAATACTTTTAAACACTCTGTATGCAATAAATGTTGACAATCATTCTTTGAATTCGATGTAACACTTGATGGTAAAATAATTGGTCGAAATAATGGTAAACTGCATAAACTGCAATAATTCGAAGACAACGTACTACTGATACTACTAAAACTGGTAGTATTAGTAGTATTGTCTATGCCAAATAATTCTAATTGTATTAAAGGTAATAATTTTTCATAAATATATAATAAACAAAAAATAACAGTTAAAAAGATAACATGACTTGAAATCTCAGCATAACCTAAATGTATTAAAGATGTTTCACTTAAATAAAATTTCCATGAAGTATATGCTAAAATCAAAATGAAATTAATTATTTCAATGGATAAAAATAGGCTGGAAATTTTTTTATTAAAATATTTTAAATTAATTTTCATTGGTAAAATAAAGAGTTTTACATCAGTTAGTATTAGATGAACATGAACTAATAAAAGAAATATACTAGTACAAAGAATAGTATTCGGAATAAACGTTGTTATCCCTGTTACAATATACGAAGCAAAATAAAAACACATACTGAATAACCATAAAAGATATAAACTGTATGCAGCTAAACTAAACAACAGGTGTGTATCTAACATTAAACGTATAAAAGGATTATTAGATAGGCGTAATGTTAACCAACAAACAACAAAACGATGTAAACGTAGAGAACAAAACATTAAAAGGCATGAAATAATTCCAAAGGATGATTCATCTGGATTTAAAAGTTTTAAAAAGTATAAAGTACTTGTATAGGTGTAAATAAATAATTCAACATTATCTAAAGTTAATGGTACTTGATATGATATACCAAAATGAAATAGCTTATAGACATCTGAGTATACAGAGGAACTAGAGATCATAATATAAACTATTAAATAGGTATAATAAGATGCCCAATTCATAAAAAGAAAGAGTGAAAATACTGTTATCGGTGAAGATAATATAACTTCATTTAGAATTGATGGAAGAGAGCTTAACGAAGGATAAAAATCACTGAATGATACAAGACAAAATACCAATTTAATAACAATTAATATTTCACAAGGAACAAGTAATTTTGCAAGACATTCCCAAGATGTAATCATTATTGTACATATATATATATATTTCTTTTTTGTATTTCAGGACTTATGATTTACACCCAGAAGAGAGATATTTTTTTGTAAAAGCTGCATTATATACTCAATGTGTTCTTTTTAAAATCTGAAGATTGAGTAGTGAAGTTTACAAAAAAAATTGAACGGCCACGTGTAAGGTTAATCCAAGAAGAGGTACAGAAAAAAATGAAATTTAGACTTATATTGATTTCCGAATTTTTCATAAATACACCAAAGTTGTGTAAGTAATAATTTATGAAGTTAAATCATATGAATTCGAAGTATTCCAACTTCTTTTCAGGAGAACTTTGCCTAAAAATAAAAATAAATAAGAGATTAATTTAGAATAGTTTGTTGGATTTTATTCTAAAGAACATTGTAAAGGAAAAAACTAAATGAGATCTGATTTTAATACTCCGAAATACCCCAATTCTTATACTTATCTACCCTATATCACTTGACTGAATCTCTTAATTTGTAATAATTTCTCAACTCAAGTGATGAGGTTGTAAATGTACATCAATTGGCATGACTAGAACACGTGTCACTTATGTTAAGCCACCGCCTTCCACAACGATCAATGTTAGCTGACAAATGAAAAGAGTTAGAGATTGTCAAATCACAACGCGGTATCAATTCACCAACAATTCAACAGTCGATTTGAGCCAGGTAGGGAGATGCAGGCTGCATTGTTTAAGGTCCTTACAACTCTCTGAACCAGCAACTTGAGGTTGTTGGAAATATGGTCCGAAAATCGCCCTCATTGGCGAATATGCATCCACTTTTTTTGTAATTCCCTAGATCCACTTAATCCCCATGCTACTATTTTTCCTCGCATGCATTTCTGGTCATTATAATTTCTTTTGAATTTCTTATTTCTCTCTTTTGTCTACTTTCTTTCTCCTGTAGATAGTATGGCAACTGGAATTGCTGCACTTTTGTGAAAGCTTCACGTTGAAATTTAGTCAGTTAACCGAAATCTGTTGACTTTGTTGAATGCTTTACTGATAAGAGTTTGAATGAAAAGTTCATAGTATCTTCCTCAAGATTTATCTGTTCCATTTTACTTAGAAAAATAAATATCTTAACATTCCAGCATGACTTTTCTTCAAGTTGAAGTGTATCACCATATATTCTTGCTTCTTTTAACTTTATTGGTTGCATGCGGCGTACAGATACTAGTGTATTCAGGAATGATTCGTGTTTTTTGTCCAGTTGGCGACGGTTACACAGGTAACAGGACACGGAGTGATACAATACACTTAAATCCTTATATTATCATAAGCAACAGATTTTGCATATTTCAGCCTGTAAATAATTACCATTACGTTACATTATATGGGCAGACTGAAGCGGTCGTATGTGAAGTAATTTCCTATATTTTTGAGTACTTAAATCACCCTCACGCCAGTGAAGATAACTTGCCCTTTGTAATTTACATTGTGGTGTGTTTGTGTATTTGAGCTTAAAAGCTTTTAAGCTTAAATACACAAACACACCACAATTGTTAATTCACTGTTTATCTTGTGTATTCAATAACTGAACATTTTATATGCATTTAAATGGCGATCCTAACCAACCGGTCTACTATTCCATTTAGCATTTAAACCCTTAAGTAGTTTTTCGTATTGTTATTCACCCGTTCTTCACTGTATAAAGAAAGAGTATTCATCCTGGTAAGAATATTACAATGTATTCTACGAGGTGTGTCTTGATGATTAAAAGATTTGAAAACTCATCATCTTGTGTTACAAAATGCCACAAAAACCGAAAACCAGAACTTGTTGTAGGGCTTATGAGCGATTGAACTCACCGTAACGCACAGTTTAAAATTCCGCAGATGTATGTCCAGTAAACAATGCTACAAAATTTACCGGCTGAAATTATCCTGCATGCTCAAGTTCATTGGAAGATTTAGGCACCTGAAGGCCATAATATTAATAAAGATGAGATATTTTTATACACTGAATCCACATAACCCACATAACACTGCAGCAATCGGTGCATATATATATATATATATATTAAATCCACTTAGAGATAACCTGTCGACTTACGATAATTCCTGTCCAAACACACATATGGTGGAAGACACATCTACATGATAACTTCCGTTCTCACAAAAGGTTCTGTTAGCATTTATAGGTGATTTCCATGTGCTGATAGCATTGTTTTGTCATATATTAATGTTCTCCTAAAATAACTATTATTTATTCATCATTAGGTATTTATTTATTATTTTTTCTATTTTTTATTTTTGATTACAGCTTGATTCCACACCGTATTTTTGGTACAAGTATGGAATTTTCAGCGTGGATATCGGTAGCCCAAAATTCGCAGGCCGACCATAGATATCAGGTGTGCATCGGCGAGGGCTCGAACCCGGGACCATGTGCATGGTCGGCGAGAGTCCTAACCACTGTGCCACCTTCACTGTTTTGGTTGACTAGACGAGTTGATTGCAACACATTATGAGCGTTCAATTTTGTGTACCTTGGTGCATAGTTTTTCTTTTTTCACGTTTTTCTCAATTGACTTTTCTATTCTCCGTTTTGAAGTGGCTTTTTAAATATTACCCACTATTATCAGATGTAGCATTCGTTTTGCCGTCTTAATCAGCTTTTGCAGAGGTGAGATTGTATCTTTACCATTTTTCCTATTTCGAATCACTGTTTACGACAATACTACATCTAATTTCTGATTCCAGATCCCACTTTACAACTGTATGTTTGACATAACAGCAAATAATCAAAGACTTATTTACCTTCAGTCTGCTAGCTCCTTTGGCACTTTAAAAAAACGCCATTTAAACAATCCTAAACATGGTGACTCATTATCGGCTGAAAAATTCAGCGAAACATTCTAATCTAATAAGACTAAACAGTATGGTGATGCACCTTACCTTCATCCAATACAAAAACTAAACAAGCTCATACCGGGTATTATTACTTGCTCACTATCTTGTGTAGCAGGTGACTTTATTAAGGACATTCACAGTGACAAAAGTTAACGAAACATGGATTATGGATAGTCACTTTAGATCCCAATGAAAAGCCAGACATCAATTTCTTCGGTGTGATCGAATCCACAGTGCCGAAAAACCCTGCTTTAAACTGTTTATCAGAGGGCTGAAAACTATATATAGCCTCACTATCACCAGTCCCTGCTGATGTCAATTCTATTAGCTGTTTTTAAAGAAATAAGTGTATAAGTGCTTCATAGCCAAAGACGTTGACCTAGATTACCCTTGCAATACACAGACTGATTCACTGTCATCTAATTCTACTCACACAGATGCTCTTATTCAGGATACACAAGTGCAGGTATTGCCGGTTAATTGTAGCATCACTGCTCCTATAAGTCACCTCACTGCAAAAATTTATATTGGTCATCAACAATACGTGAACATAATGACAATAATGATTTACTTTATTCCAAAAACAGTACTTGTGATACAGAATGGAATTTTCAGCATTAATCACAATATTGCATCTAATTTCCTCAAATTATTAGTAAAATTAATCACACAGAAAATTTTCCACATTTACAATAGGAGTAATGTCAAAAACAAGCAGCATACGTAATGGAAATAATAATGATAACAGCTAAGGTAATAATAATGATACAATGGAAAACTACCGTGGGCTTGTTTCACACAGTATTGGAAATGTGGTATGGAAATCCTAACATGTTTAAAAATATTGAAATATAATGTTCTCTTTACATGATATGGTGAGGGGAAAAACAAAGATTACAGCAGTCATAGAGATAAGTTGGTTGTCAGCCACGTCTCGTAAACCGTTAATGCCCAGCTCTTGCTACGCTGGGACTCACGCTGTTCCTTGAAGTTTCTCAGAAACGCTTAGTAATAACGGACGCAAAACCAAAACACCGATTGGTGACTCGAGGATTCTTTATTGTAACACCAACATATAAAAAATGTTATCATTAAGGTCTGTGAAGAAATATTACAATAATAAATCACAATATTACTTCTGACGGTTTTATTCTGACTTCTTTCTGAACAGCGACCGATGAGACGATGAATGATGGATTGATGCATCCGTGAAAATTAGGGAATTTGGTTTTGAGCAAACAACCATGAATTGATTGTTCAATCCTCAACTGCATTGACACTCCCCACCAAAAAAGGGATCCATCCGTTTTTTCCTTCACGACCAATACACGTTGACTTGGATGCCATTGCGAGAACCTGGGTCACACGGACAAAGCTGAAATGGAAAATAAACAGAAAAGCCAACACACCACAAGCATACCCAAAGCACAATCTCACACATCAATGACGACCTGCGCCTTCCAGTTAAAGGCATCCTCTTGCAACACAATCGCCACTTGCTAGAATGACTCTTGCAGAATGCAACGTGACCATAGCACCACCTCATGATACTCCACGCACGTCCTCTTATCTACTCACTACCAATTACCACTGAAATCGCTTGTCACTCATTCTGCCTCAGTTCTAGTAACGGTGACGTATGCGAGCCTCAGTCGTTTACACTCTTTCTCCCCGGCGTGTGGGACCGCAGCTAACAATTATCCCCGTATGCATTTCATTCTCACCAATAGCCTCCCCGGCGTATACGACCCATCAGCTGTCTCTAACATCAATCAATTCATTCACGGATGTAGAAGACTCGAAACAACTTTAGAAGTAATCACGACGAAAATTTTAACAAAATTATGCAATAACAACAAGGTACGAAAACAACAAGTAAACACAATGAATCCAAAAACACCAATTGATATGACACACCACACGTATATACAAACAGTACAAACAAACTCGCAGATCATGTCTCGATGGAATTCCTTTGAAGAATTGCAGGACTTACACCAGTACGCCTACAACCCTTCTCAGGTTGACGATTGTAAGTTGTGGAATGTCCGGACACAAACAAGATTAACCAACAATTACAATAATTGGAACTCACACAATTATTTAACACAAACATATGTACAATCAACACATCAAATGTTGTGGATTCTGGCACGACAAACTACCCTTGAAGAACTGTAGGACTTACAGCAGTACGCCTACATTCCTTCTCAGGTTGATGATCCAAGTGGAAGTCGTCCGGACACAAACAGAATTACCAACAGCTAGATGACAGATGATATCAATAAAAAATCATCAATATGAACATATGTACAAAATCACACACCAAGCACATTGGACTGCTCATTGATGCGCTACCCTTTGAAGAATTGTAGGACTTACAGCAGTACGCCTACAACCCTTCTCAGGTTGACGCTCTAGGTTGGAAAATCGTCTAGTGTTTCATCCTCCGACTCTCTACTCTCAGCACCTTCCAGTAGACACAGTTTTCTAATATCTCGCACCAACATGCCACAACTTGTTCTCACCTCAACCGTCCTCACCAATCCATCACCACTACAGAGTAGCCTTACTACCACTCCCAAAGGCCACCTACCTGTGGCACATTTATCTGCTACTAATACTATGTCACCAACCTTTAAGTTTCGGCACAACTTTTTCCACTTGTCTCTGGTTTGCAGTGTTAGAACATACTCCTTTAACCATCTTTTCCAAAATATATCTTTCATGTGCCTGGCTTGTTTCCATCTTTTAATCGTAGGTATTCCTTCCCCGCTTGAGTCCTCTATGCCAGGGTTGCCTCTCAATAACAATAATTTATTTGGGGTTAACACATCAAAATCCTTGACGTCGTCCCTCACAGGTGATAACGGCCGGTCATTTAATATTCGTTCAGCTTCACAAAAAAATGTCTCCAGCGTTTCGTCATTCAAACTCTGGTTTTTAATTATGGAGCTTAAAATACGCTTGATAATTCCTATAAGTCTTTCCCATAGCCCACCTCTATGGCTGGCATGTGGTGGGTTGAAGTGCCACTCGATGTTCCTTTTCAGTAACTCTTCCTGAACTCTCGTTTGGGACCTTCGAAGTACTCTTTAAGCTCGGCGTGACAGCCAACAAAATTAGTCCCTCTGTCGCTGAACATCATCTTCGGTACACCCCGGCGATTTATAAATCTATGTAATGCTAGCACGAATGAATCAGTAGTTAGCGTATGAACCATCTCAATATGCACAGCTCTCATTTTCAAACAGGTGAATAAACAGCCATATCTTTTACATAGGGTTCTGCCTCTCTTCACTACAAAAGGTCCGAACAAATCCACCCCAACGTACTCAAATGGATAATTCCCTTCAGAAGCTTGCCACGCTGGGAGTGGTGCCATCATCTGCTGTACTGGACGAGCATTTCGGAGTTTACATTCCATGCACTTATCAATTATTTTACGGACAGCAGTACCTCCCTTCACTATCCAGAACTTACATCGAATACTTGATAGTACTTGCGAAGTACCCAAATGACCTTCAAGAACATGGTAGTGTCTTATAATGAGATCAGTGACTGGATGGTAGCAAGGTAATAAAGCCGGATGACGGGTCTCATATGACGATTCTAACATTTGTAGACGTCCACCAACTCTAGCGATCCCTTCGGAAACTATCGGAGATAATCTATCTAACCGCACCTTGAAATCTGCGAAATCGGGACTATCCTCCTTGGCAATCTCACCCCACGCTTCCCACTGAGCAGCCCTCAAAATCGCTAACTCTGCATTTCTAATATCTTCGACTCTCAAAGGCCCCACATTCATATTTTCGTATCCCGCAAGATGCATGACCTTTAAATACGTAACATATCGTGTCAACCACGCAACAGCTTTCAGTAGTTTGTACCAAGAAGAATAATATTTAAAAAGTGGATGTAAACCTGAATGTCTTTCTTGA